AGATTGAAGTGAGCCTAAATAAAGAACCTGCCTTGTATATCTAACGTAATATCAGAACGTATCGAAAAATGCGGCTGTAATAAATCCACGGCTCTTTAATCGCCTTGGCGCATCGTCGAAATCGAAATCCTATGGACTGGCTTCGGTTATTTGCGACGGCAGAGATTTGCGAGAGATCAAAAACTACTAGGAATTCCATTATTATTCAAAATTCGCATTTTAAATTGGCTTTAGAGTCAGTCTAACAATCCAATTTTATATTTCCCACAAGTTTCACAAGACCACGTCTACAGCGTGCCTTAAAAAATGTGTCATAAATTCAGAGACTCGCAGAATATCAAGATTTTTTCCTGTAGGGATAATAATCCCATTTTTGGGGTACCAGGCGTCAAAGATGCTTTGTTTCAATCAAATTCTAGCCATAGGTACCTTTTTAAAATAAATTATATTGCAATGAAAACTGAAATAAACAACTTCCCCCAAATGTCAGTGTTTTTAGTGCATTATCTTCTAGTTACGATAATTCCCAGCGATGTTTTGGAATACGTCTTTTTGGGACAAATTTCATATAAAAAAAAATACTCCTTTTGAAACAGTTGAGAAATTTTCGAGATAAATTTTATTGTGCCAAAGTCTACCAGCTTATATCAATGTAGGTATTTAATAAGAGTTTCAGCTGAAAACATTTTTAACCTAAATTAGATTTTTATTCGCCACAAGAGGCGAGGCTATGAAAACTAGTCGCTACACATTTTTGAAAAAAAAAATCAAATAGCAAGCTGCGATTCCTTTAATTTTTATGTAATTTTTGTTTCAATATTGGACGACAAACTTCTCTTGAAATTTTTTTAATATGAAATTTATCTAACTTATTAAAAACAAAACAAGATTTTAAAAATGACAAATGAATCAAATGTAAATTGCAACATTATTGGGAAGTTGTTTTATAAGTAATAGTTTACTATTATAATGAATAAAAGATCACTACTTTAGTAGAATATTAGAACATCAATCAAATTTTTAAGGAGCGTAATTGACGTAATTAGATCATCAGGTATAGTATTTCCGATCTCAATTGAAGACCAAAGAGCTAGGCAGTATGTACCAGGTTCGGTCACTACGCAGCAACTCGGCATTGAAATATTTGAAAAACTTGTTCTTATATTTATTTAGCCATACCCATATACCGGTCTGGTCGTGGAGATGGTAGAAATGTATATGTACGTCCAGTTGATGAATGCGTGCGCAGGTGAACGACGCACAAACACAACCGCACTGGGCAAACGGCCATAAATTTCAGTTGTTGACAAATTGCCTAGCAGTGCAGTGCAATTAAATTTTTATGTATTTATTTTATTTTATTGTTGATTATTTTTATTTAATAACTTTTCTAACCTAAACTAACAACCTTTCCTCATTCTTTCGTGGCAAGGATATATTCATACCTTTCCGTTGGTTCTTGACATATTTTAATGAATATGTAAATGTTTTCTTGACATGTCAGCCAAAATTTACCATTAATATAATAAAATTATTTGAGGACATAAATAATTAAAATATGTTGTTGGCCAAATGAATATATAATAGACATTTTCTACACATCATATACAAATTATTATTATTATTTAGGTATTACCTAGCAGAAAACTTTTTTAGGGACGCCTATAAAACTCATTAACTTTTATTGCTAGACGTTTTTATACATGTTCAACTGACTTCGGAAAGACTATACTTACTTGTACCATCAAGTTTTAATACAACCCATTGTTTTTTTTAAGACTGGATTTAAAAAAACATTAGCTTTGAAGCACTATATCTCAAAAACAAGAAAATAATAAAAAAACGTCTTATATTTGAATGCTCTAAGAGTCTCCACATTTAGGACACTCTCTTTAAAAAACCCCTGTATATTTTTATTCAGTTATGCTACCGTTAATGATCATTATTTTTTTTCAAATTTAGTACAGACGAAATTTAAATTCAAAAAATAAAAAAACTGAAATAATTAAAAAAAATTATAGCAAATTCACAATACAGGGTGCAACAGCGACTTTGCGACAAATTTTCAAGACTGATCCTATCAATGTATAAAAAAACGACAATCGCATTTTTTCCTAAAATGATTTCTAACAGGTCTACAATTTTTCAAAAATTAGACGTAAAATATAGTTTTTTATCAATTACTTGATACAATATAGTTGTCTCAATCCCTCATGAACATAGAACTGCACTATACCAAGTTTGAAATGTATTTTAATATCTTTACTTTCCTAAAAATTTTACTGTTTCTAATTTTTATTTTGTAAGATGGGATCAGTCCAAAATGGTCGCAATATTTAAAATAAAAAAACTAGGTATGATTTTGATATTGTTCAAAAATGATAAAAGAAAATTTCACATTACCATCTGTATATCAACAGAATGTTATTTTTTTAATAAACTTGCATTGTGCAACCAAAATAATCACAAGTTGACAGAAGTAGTAATGTTGTTATGAAATGACTGCAAACGTTTCTACCTTAAATAAAATCTAAATACGAAACGAATATCTCATAAAAAGATACATTTTAGCTCCAGCTGCTTCTACTCATTGCCTTAACGATTTACCGAACACGAAATTTTAATGCACGTTCTTGTCCCTATATTTTCACGGCCTATTCTTAATTAAGTCAGTGGACCACTGTTCTCAAATAACTCCTACTCATTTACGGGTTACGAAACAACCCAAACTCGCCTTATATAGAATTCTAACAGCTAATATGTAAATGGATCGATCAAAATATTTAAGTTGTCGGGATCGTAAAAACAATATAATCATTGGAACTTTTACTTTCAACTTGCCACTTCATTTTTTACATACACGGTCTTCATTTGCATAACACATTATGGATAAAAGTGAATTTTATCTCGTGAGTAGGGACCCCTTAAAAAAAACTGTGATTATTTTTCTACAAGCTTTCTACAAGGCACTTTAGACAATCAATAATATTAATACCCGAGTTGTCATATTCTGATAGATTTCAGTAACGGGTAGTAGGTACAGGTCGTTCTATCGACAACTGTTCGTGTAATTTAGTGTGGAATAAGTGTATAAAAAATTGTCAAATGCGTCAATTCTTATTTGAAACATATTTTTGAAAAAGGAGTAAAAAATTGCCTTAAATTTTTAATTACCACGATTTTCCGGTAATTCAAACAAGATATTAGTTTGTCTTATACTTTTATACAAAATGACATAATTGCATTTACAGTAAACATATAACCAATACAAAAACTATAAAGGAATACCTATGTTTCATTTAAAATTAAAAACTCATTATTACTTTCTTTATTAAATTTTTAAAGTGACTGCACATACAGGATGTATATTAAATTTTGGACAAAAAATTTCCTGATCCTGTTTACGAAGATATAAGCTTTATCAGTTTCCATTTTTCAATCATCAATTATTTCCTAGTTTTTGAAAAACAAGAAATTTTTATAGCGTTTAATTAATGACACAACATAAAAACATTAAATAGTATTTCTTGGATCAAATTATTAAGAACTTTATCCTTCATCCTTCAATAATAATAATCATAAAGTCGTATCTTAGTTACAAAAATTTATAAGAAGTTTAAGTTAAAAATAAAAGCACTATCACCAGAGTAAAGTCAATAAAGAAAAACTAAACTTCGATTTTGTTTTTTTAACTTTATTTCGAAAGAAATTTATATTTAGCTTAAATAAATGAAGAATTTGGCTAATAAATCCGCAGTTTTTTATTACTTTTAATTTTGGTCGAACAGTTCCATTATCTTCTTTATAAAAAATTGATCAGTGTAGCCATGTATTTAGGTTGTGCTTATTTTATATTCAAATAAGTAAAACATGATTAGAAACAGTCTTCTTCTTAAAATTGTATAAAAATTTTTGCCGGAATAGTATCTCAACTAAATCGGTGTATCTTAAAAACAAAATTACTAACGACAATAATCATGAATATAAATCCCGAGATAAATCCAGAACATCTATGATTATAACATTGAATATACAGTTCCTGTATTTTTTACGTCTTCTTCTGTGAATTCGTTTTAGGTGTAAATGTTCTGTTTCCAGTGCAATATTTCTATTCTTCTACTGCCAATATACTACTGTTGATTGCCTCTATAGAGCGATTATACATTTTTAACAAAAAACTTCAAGGGTTTCCAATTTAATGGACGTTTCCCTGTTAACAGTAGGATTCCACTTCAACAAATCATCTACTTCACTACAACATGTTGGAAATTATTTCGAACAAAACCTTATTTTAACAATTTCTTAATGAATCTTAACTTCGTCTTAAAAAATTCAACAAATTTTCTAGTTTCATGATCAGATCAAAAACAATTCCTCAACATCTAACAGAGTGATTAGAAAATAAAACAAGAATGTATGGAACTAAGTATCATTTGGTTTATATCCTCACTGGCCATTAATCACTTTAATATATTTCTTTTTTTTAATTTAAGCGTCAATTATTTCAATGCATGAATTTCTTCCTCTAAAACCAAAAAATGCAAGTCTTTAAAAAATTACAACACTCCGATTTATCTTAATTTTTTTAATATTAGTAAAAGTTAAAAAATTAGACTTAAAATTCTAAGTCGCTCTCTTTCGCAAATCCCCGAAGCCAGCGCGTCGCAACGTCCATGTCCCGGCGCGTCATCAACGTAAGAAACGTAAAAAAAAATAAGACTAATTCATGACTAATAGAGCCCCTGTCCGGGACCTGATTCTACGGGGGGCTCAGTCTACCGCTGAGGGTGGGAGTGCATGTGCGAGTGCGGATGCTGGGGGTGGCCGTAGCCTTGGTGCGGGGGCGGTAGCGGACTGGGGCAGGCCTGAGAGTAGCCGCCGTGCTGAGGCGAGCCGCCCAGCCCCAGGTGGCTCTGCTCGAGGTGCGAGTAATGGCCCTGGCCGGCGAGGGAATGTGGGTGAGCGTGTGTATGCGGCGAACCGTACACCATTTGCCTTACTTTAGAGTCCTCGTCGCTGATGTTGTAGGTGAGTTCCGTCTCCTCGAAGCCGGTGGCGGACATCCTCTGGTCGCCGCCCGCGGAGCCGGCCGGCGGGTCGGGGCTGTTGAGGCAGGTCTGGATGAGGGCCTTCCCTGCACATAAACCGTTGACTGTTAAAAGAAAAATTGTATCGTTTGGATGCCGAAACTAATGTGGAGTAGCTATCCCATACCAGATTTGTTCTGGTTTCAGTAACAACCGAGGTACACGTACCAAATAAGGCATGCGACATACTTGGGGTTGTGAGCACGGGGGTAACGGAATGGCGGTGTCTTGGGGCTAATCCGTTAATAATAAGAGACGGTGATGCTAAATATTACTTCCAAAAAGCGACGAGCTCTGGTGATGCTGCCAATTTCTCTCCACAGTATTTTAATACAAATAATAAATAAAGCATGGCACGCCATTGAGTTCCGCTGCGCGACACTACCTCAAGTATATCGTCAGCTTAAGACCATGTCATTTTCATAAAACGAAAATTCTAAAACCTTAAAGCAGAACTTCCACATGCAATGTTTCCGGTGCCAATATCATGCTAGTTTTTTGACGCCAATACCCGTTTCCACATATTTTTGTGTGCCGTTCACTTCTGAGGTATTCAAAATGGCGTTAACATCTGCAACCATTTGTTCTCAAGAAGGAATTGTAAAGAAAACGAAAGCACAGATGGTGAGTCCGCACATGGATATCACGTAGAGATTCCCATGAAGATCACAAAGCCTATCTGAATCACCTACCTACTTATAATATCCGTTACTCATTTCTTTGATGCCTTCAACATTTTTTACCACGACTAATAACGGGCGTCCCAAAAGTAACGCAGAATTTGAATTGTGAGGTTAGACAAAATGGAGCTATATGACGGATACAAGTATGGAGAGTATGTAGCTGAGAATGTGCACAAATAACGTGGAATTTTCGGCAGTAAGAATGCCCCGAATGAAATCTCTTTGAAAAGATTAGTTGCTAAATTTGGACAAATAGGTTTGATAGGTTGAAAGGTTTGATAGCAGAAAATAAAAAAACAAACTGACCTGGTACTGGGGCCATTCAGCCGAAAATATTGCTACGGTGAGTGATAATGTAGCAGAAATTCCTATAACCTCAGTGTAATTAAACATATCAAAAAGCACAATGAAGCGGATTTTAACAAAAGATCTGTATCCATTCAAGATGCAGCTAACTCAAGAATTGAAACCAGATAACATTCGTTGATTGGGTGTTGGAGAAACAACAAGTAGACGGTGACTGCTAAGAAAATCATCTTTAACGACCAGGAGCATTTGCATCTTAGTGAGTATATGAACAAGAAAAATTGTCGAATTTGGGGCAGAGACAATCCTCTGGTCATTCAAAAACGACCACTGTATATCCAAAGAGTGACAGTGTGGTATGGATTTTACGTTGATGGGGTGATTGGTCTGTTCTTTTTCGAAAATGAGGTTGGAAAGGCACTGACTGTCAATGGAGAACGATATCCAGAGATGCTATTGAACTTTTTGTGGCCTCATTTGGATGGCATGGATTTGGATGACATGTGGCTCCAGCAAGATGGTGTCACCTGAAATATGGTACGACAGAAGTTTAATAGACGACTCATCTCACATAACAGTGAAGTGACTTGACCACCAAGATCACGCGATCTTACGCCATGTGACTTTTCCAGTGCGGATTCGTAAAGTCCTAAGTTTATTCTACTCAAATGCATACCATTCCTGAATTACAGGTATAAATGTGGCGAGTTATGAACAAAATTCATACGTAGGTATACGAAAGCGTGATACATGATTTTCTTAAACGAAGTCGAGTATGCCAAATGAGTCGCGGAGGATATCTGCCCGACATCATATTTAATGGCAATGACGTACAGTTTCTTTGAAAGTGGAAACATGTACAATTTACAATGATGTGGTGCCAGTAATCACTGCTGTAAAGACTCTGCTTTAACAAACCTAAAACTATGAGAGGGAAACACATTAATTTACATTCTTTTAGCAACAGTGTGTATGTTTCCATCATGATCGTCTAATTGTCATTGACGTTTCGCTGTTCATGCTTTCAACTTCTTGGAAAAAAAGTTAAAAGACCAAAACGACACACTGAAAAAGTAACTTTAACGCTTAACAATTATCAGAAGATAAATAAATATTCAATTATTTGAAACCAGAACAGACCTGTCATGTCTTTCTACAACGTTTTTTATTTCATGCTTCATAAATGTAAAACAAAAGCAGGGGAAGCTGAACAACGTACGAAAGCATAGTTGGAACAGCTACTTATATATTTTCCTTAATACTGGATTTGTAAACTCTGAAATGGTTTTTATGAATAAAAATGTATCCTAGTGAACTGAATAGAACTAATCTAATCAGTAAGTAATAAATACCAAAAAATATTAAAAACAACATTTACAAACAACAAAGATTATATAACAATTATATTCTACCACGTTAAAAATTATTGAACATGTTTTAATACAATTCTTTATTAAAATATTTACTGACATATTTATTCAGTATAGTATTTGATATTTAATTTTATTATTGCGGTTTCCTTTTTAATTTTTGGTTAAACGCATTTTCTGTCAGCTTAATCTAATAATCATTGAAACTTGATATATAAATGAAAACGGATTTATGCACAACAAAATATAATTGAATTTATTTGTTAAGTGGGTTTAACAATAAAAAATTTTATCAGGACTACGAAATGACCGTCTCCCTCTAGAGACGGTTTCGACGGCTCTAACCTACTGATCTCCTTTCAAGAATTTTGTCACCAGTAATCGAACCACTTTCAAGCCAGCTCACGTCTCAAAGGACCATAACTTGAAATTCATAACCTTCTGATAATCTCTCTCAGGAGAGTTCTTACTAAAGGCAGAACCAAATAAAAAGAATTATTGGCCAATCTGAAATTACTTACTTTATGAAATTGTCTACACCTAAATATCATTATTAGTATTGGGAATTTCTTAAAAAGTAAAAGTAGCTATGAATTGCGACGCATGAATATTTATAATTTCGCCAATTATTTACCTAGCAATGGACTTTCGATTGCCTATAAATTTAGGTGAATTGCAATCACCCAAGAAAAAAACAATGGAGTTTATAAATCCAGTTACATTCACATTTAATGAGAAAATATTATACTAACAATAATATAAATAATAAATTTATAAGTAAGTATACTGCGTTTTGAAATGCATACAAATAATAACAAATCTTGAAAATTCATACAATGTGAATTTGCATATGTTTTTTTAAATATTCTTCAAACCCTCCAAATTTTTTAATTTCCAATATAAAATCAACTACCCATATTGAAATATTTTTTATGTTTTAATTTGAATATGGAAAATTGGTACCAGTACAGCACTATTTTTTTATTTAATAAAAATGTAGCCATACATAAATTCTGCTGATCAGTTCTTTTTTAAGTCTGAGCTAGCTTAATTGGATCTACATTCAGAATCTAACCTAGACATTTCAATTTTTAAACTATGTAAATCCGAGTTCAGTATACATAAATAAATCCATATTCAAATAGATAACAATTTTAAACACTGGATATATTTTATTGCATTTTATACATATATAAACGGAATCGTTGTCATTAGACAGCTATACAGGGTGTTTCTAAAATAGGGTTCCAAACTTCTGCTGCGTCTATAACTCATTAAAATAAGCCAAAAAGTTCATATTAACATGTGCCCTAAAACGCACCATTAGGGTGCACTATGCACTTAAAAGGGCTCAAACAAAACTGTTTTTTTTTTTTCAAATAAATTGCAGTTATGAAGGATCCGATCATTTAATAAACAATTTAGAACATAAACTAAGACTATTTAAATTTAGAGTTACACTTACTAATTAAAGAACTAATTACTACTGCAGACAATAGCTAATATAATATTAATATTAAAGAGCAGAGTAATTCTCAAACTCAATTTACTCGAAAACCATTGGAAATATCGATTTGGACAAAGATAATAATTTTTACGTACAATTGTTAAGATTTTATAAATCTGTAGAGAAAATTGTAAAAAAATTGAAATAAAAAAAATTACGGGCCGAAAACCCCCTTCACCAACATAAATGGGACACATATATGATTTGCATGTCGAAAAACGAAGTAGCCCATGTTATTTAACGTAAAAAGTTATGTAAGACCCATAATTTTTTTTCTATTTATTTGCGACCGTTTTGTCAATAACAGAAAAAAACCAGTTTAGTTTGAGCCCTTTTAAAGGCATATAACTTTCTAAGGGTGCGTTTTAGGGCACATGTTAATAGGACCTTTTTGGCTTATTTTAATGAGTTATAAACGCAGCAGAAGTTTGGAACACTATTTTAGAAACACCCTGTATATCCTTGTATGCATGAATTTCAAATACGCTGTATAAAATAGACAATATTAGTGTGACGTCCTCAAAAACCATTCAAAATTGCAATGCAAGAAAATACAGAATATTTCATTAAAATCAATCCTAATGTCAAAACAGGTTAAATGTGACAAATTTTCCTTAATCAAAAGTTATTCCTTTTCAGTTTACCGGGTGTCAAAATCTAAAACAAAATTATACATAGCAATTTTTTTTATTTTTACATGATGAATTATATCCTGGCTATCCATTATCAAGTTCTGTCGGGTAGGAAAATCCAGTAGCGTGCAAATCTCATTAGAGGATATATTTTTTATAAATGATACGCCACTGATTAAAAACAAAAATCACCATATTTAGAATTGGCAGGCATTTTACTGCAACTGCATGTACTGTTTGAGCTATTGGTTATAAACGTCGCACTACTTTAAATTTTTGAAATTTAAGTTTAGACAAAAGGCTAAATAAGAAAGTGATACCTGTCAACTCGTAGCAACACATTAAATTTTTTTAGGGTGTTCTTAAGAGACGGCAAAAAAAATTTGGACTTTTAAATGTACCTGAACCCTGTATATACATATACATATATTTCATATTGCTTTTTAAAAATATCCTCAACAAAGTTTAATATTTTCATATTACACCTTTAGTCGATGACTTCAACGTTCTTATTAGCATATTTTTCTTAAAAACCAAATATATTTCAACTACAACTACTAGTATACTTGATAATAAAGGTCTAGGATATTATTTTTATATATCAACATACACAAGGTGAGTCAACGCTGTGGCAAGGTTGATTTATCAATAAATCAACTTTGCCACAGCATTGACTCACCCTGTACAATTAGAAAACAACTGCTATGAAGATTAAATTAAAACTTAGTTTAACTTAGCTTTAGTAGACACCCTATATACATAATACATACATAGTGTTTGTTTTTAATATGCAATGAGATAAAAAATCCTCTTAAATTCCAAAATAGTATGGTTTTTATCCTTTAGTTAGAAGATAATAATTTGCATCCAAAATTAAAGCAGCTTTTCACTGTTTTGTATACTTAAAAAAGTTGACACTGTGTATCTCGAAACACCCTGTAGATATGTGAAGTGCAGAAAAATTGATCATATTTACTCCACCGGTCAGTTCTTACTGGATTAACAATAAGCACTGTATGAATATTTTTTTTAAATTCCCATTTAAAAAGTTATTTTCAATTTGACTTATGGAATAGTCCTCAAAATCACAAAGTTTTGTTTTTTTTTAATTTGGAACCTTGAAGTTTGGAAAGAAACCACATTTAATCAAATCAAGTTTAGTTTAATCCCCCTCATTTCAACTCAAGAATTGCCCATAAAATTGTATGCAGAAGTTACCATCATTAGCTGCCAAACACCAGTGACTAACTGATTAAATTTTACGAAAATGAGTTAACAAAGTTGGCTAGACAATTTTAGCAAACTGCAACAAAAATATTAGAGATTCTGTTACTTGTTTTCCATTAAAAGACTAAACAAAATCGAAAATAAACTATGAATTCTGAATGTGCTCTCAAAGTGACAAATTCTGACGCGATTTGTCGTTGTTGTACATGAATTAGATACCAAGGTTTTTTCGAAAGCATCTTAAGGTACACAAATCATTTTAGTGTAAGGAAACAGCAGCAAAACACAAAATCGCTGACAGTTTTTTTTTACAGTTTGCTAAAAGTGGCTTGCTAACAGTACAAGGCGGTTCAGTCATAATGTCTGTAATTTTAATCACGTACTCGAAAGGTCTAATAAAGGTAGAAAAAAATTTCTCGACCTTTTAAAAGATAAGTAAATTACACCTTAACTCCCGCTAATTCGGCACCCTGACCAGGAACACGCCTGCGGAATAGAGAGCGTTCTAACGTTGAAGAGAAACAGCAGATTTCCCCAGCCATCTCGAATTTTGCAATAGGTTTCAAAATCAAAGTGTTGGACATCCCAACTTTATTAACAAAGCGCTATGAACGAATTAGTGTTGTTTCAGCAGTATTGGCATTTTAAATGGGTAGGTACCATATTACTCTTTGAAAAGCAACTAGGTATACGTACTACAAACTGTATTATTAATTGAACATAATACTGAAAACTCATACTCAATTATAAAACATAATGAAAACATTAACAATATTGAAAATACTAAATTGTAATATATTAGCCTATTATTCGAAAACAATTTATTGTTCTTTGGTATCCAAAGCTAGATTAGTGACCGAATAATATGGTAGGTCAAGACTTACTCTCGATAAACCTTTGTGGGTCAGCGGTCAGGAGCGGCAAGAAAAGGGGTTTAAATATTGAATTGGAAATGAAATTAAACGCGTATTCGAATTCTACTAATTTTTTCTTATCTACCCTTAATATTACTGACATCATGACTGATCCGCCCTGTATATACGTTTAAATTTTGCAAAAAAGGAACATCTGTTTCTACTCCCTGTTGCTGGGACGTCACGACTAATTTTGTCTACCTGCTCGACGGTCAGAAAGTGAACTGTACTTGCCTGCCTCGCTGGTGATCATCGGTTGCAGCTTCCTGGTTGCGAAGGTGTACACGTGGCCCGTCTCGGACGCCACCAGGAGCATCACCTGGGTCCCGGTCAACGTCGAGAGCTCGTACGCCTGCAACAAAACGAAACCCATTTTACGGCCTCGGCTCTCGAGCTCGTCACATAAATTACCCGCATCATACAATGTTTCAATTAGGCATTAGTAACGTGATACGGCACACACACACACACACACACACACGAGGATAATAAAAGCCGCTCGTCTGTTCTTCTCGCCTCTATCATATCTTTATTTACGGGCGCGCGATGAAGACTACGGGGCTATGTATATGTGTACAGGGTGAATTATTTGAATGTGCCCGACACGAAATGGTTAAATGTCCCCAATTAAAAACGTTTATAATCAAGAAGAAACAAAAAATACGATAGGAAGACCCCCTTGAATGTGCCGCCTATGGATACCTATAATTTGCCTAAGATCTATGAGCTACACCAATATCAGCTGACGACTGGGAATTCACAAATTAAAGTACATAAATAACGACCTGCAGACTGACCTCAAATTTTATGGATGATCCGATTACATGATCCTACCCTTACTATATGTACACCTGTGGAATGCAATTTTTCCCTGGTGCCCCGCCTGTCCACTGTTATTATTATTATTATTATTATACCGTTAACAAAACAATTACATTACTCTTTTAACTGAAAAATGGATTTAAATTTTCCCCTGCAGTTGTCAGTTATGGTGATGTTAGTTTAACTAAACTGATATTTTTGCTAAATCTATAACTTTATTTTTTTTTAATATTTAGATAAAGTTACCCTAATTCTATAGTCGGCAGAGCAATATCTCACTATAGTCTGTTTAGAAATGAAAGAGAGTAATAAAAGCTTATTATGTATGCAAATCGTAAATAAATGTAGTACTGGTGCTTATATTCAATATTTTTATATTATGTATTATCGGTATAGATGAGGTGTACTTTTAAAAAAAACTTTGTGTGACCGGGTTGTACTAAATTGTAGCAGGTAGCTAAAATTTAATCCCCAACAATCCGTCTTTGTCTACGCCGCTTCAATTTCTCGGTCCACTTCTCTTATAAGTAAACAATATAAAAACAGCATTTCAAAACCTGAGGCTACTTTAAGCATCATAACCGGGTTAAGAAGGTTTTTAGTAATTCAAATAAAATTATTCAATATTATTATCAAAATATTTATTTAAATTTAATGAATAGACTTTTATTCCACACAAAAANCGCTCGTCTGTTCTTCTCGCCTCTATCATATCTTTATTTACGGGCGCGCGATGAAGACTACGAGGCTATACAGGCTCGGAAAGTCCCCATGGTTCATCGGCCGTTACGTGAGAGCGATAAAGTAAGTCGTAGAAATCCGTGCGATAGAGAAAGATGGCTATAATGAAGTCGTCTAATAGTCACCGCCCATTTCGCCCTTCCACAAATAAGAAGTGGATCTTATTTTGAATGTGGCCGACACGAAATGGTTAAATGTCCCCAATTAGAAAAGTTTATATCAAGAGGAAACAAAAAAATACGGCCACAGAACCCTTTAATTTGCCTAAGATCATGTAACCTACACCAACATCAGCTGCCACATAATGAGGATTCAGAAATAAAAGTACATAAATAATGATCTGCAGACTGCCCTGAAATTTTATCCGATGATCCGAATTCATAATCTTACCCTTATTATATACCTGGGGAATGCAATTTTTCCCTTATGCCTGTCGAGTGCAATTTATTATTATATTGTTGTTATATAAACCAATGATGTTACTCATTTAAATGAAAAATGGATTTAAATTTCCTCCTGCAGTTGTCAGTTATGGTGATATGCTAGTCTTACTAAACTAATATTTTTGCTAAACTATAACTTTATTCGACCTTTTTTAAGATTTAGATAAAGTTACCCTAATTCTATAGTCAGCAGAGCAATGTCTCACTAGGAATTGATTTTCGAATAAAAGTAAATTGATCTAAATCGTAAAACTATGATAAACGTAGTTTAAACAAAAGATGAAATTTAGTGAGACTGAAATGCCCCATAGCTGTATGTAACTGACAACTGCAGTATAAAATTGAAATCCATTTTTCCGCGTAATGGTCCATAATAACAATTTGTAACAATTTTTTGCAGTAAAAATGACATTTCATAAATAAACAAAAATTTTTTTCAAAGTAAGCTACAAAAAAAATATGGCAAAAAAGAACTCTTTCAGGTACTTTATTACTTTCACTATACCAATGGTCCTGTACGGTATTTATAAAAATGTGAGCTCGGTCAAACTGGCTGAAATTATGGTAAGTTGTTGGTTTTGTGTTACTGACCAAAAGTCTCCACAGTACTTGAGTCCGAAAATCAATTATTTTCTACTTATCTGAGTCATTTCTGCAGTTTGGTATTTGGCACATGTCAAAAATGTTAATTGGTAACTTTTCGAAGTCATCCGATTAATTTTTTCTACAAACATTTAAAAAAAAAGTAACTATTTTTGTTGTATTATTCTACTCATACTACTTTGCAGCCATCATCAACAGAACTGACTCAGACCGCTATAGATGAGAAAGAATGGAGTAGCTGATAAATTTATTTTTTTTTTCAAGTACCATATTTTTGCTGATTCGCAACAAACACAATATTGTATACAGGGTGTTTCTGAAATAAGTGCGTTGCTTGAAAAGGGTGACGAAAATGAGCAACTTTTATTAAGTAACTGATGATCTAAATGCTTATGTTTTCGAGAAAATTAACCATAAATGTAGCCAACCGTGTGTATCTTGTGCACGTGTGTTATGTTTTGTAGTATTACTTAGCCAACGTATAAAATGTTTTCTGATCAAGAACTAACAGAAATGGTGTTAATGTACGGAGAATGTCAGTACAATTTAAATTAGACTTGTCGTTTGTATGCGGTCCGTTCCCGTAACAGACAGCAACCTATAGTAGGATCGTATTCGATGCAAAGTAGAGCAAAAAATTATCGGCCTTTTATCAAAGGAAAATCGTGTCATCATTTTTAGGAGACGCAAGATGAACCATTTCAAATTTAAAATGAAATTGAATGTAAAATCTGAAATATCGCTGCATACGCAGTGTTCTGGTACTAGCTGTAGTCGGTCAGGTGCATCGAATGTACGAAGTGGTCAGTTATACGTCAAATACTAACCTGGCGAGCTTGATCGTAAAGCAGGGAACAATAAACAGTGGCGCGTACAGAGGTGAAATGTAGTACATAATATGTGGAATTTAAATAACGAATTGGATTTATAATAAATTACATTTAAAACAAATAGTTTATGAGAATAAATGGATTTTTGTAGAAACAGGGTTCCAGACGAAAACTGATCCCTTCATCGCACCCCATTACGATTCTTTTTTTTATAAGGGGAACGAAGTTTCAAAGCAAAAACCTTGTATAACAGATATACTATAAATATTTACAGAATAAAAACAAAATATAAATCCTATGATATGATTCTATCAAATGAAAACACTAACAACAATTCTCTAACAAAATAAGTTATTTTTCTATCAAACAAGAAATGTTAACAAATTATAAACAAAATATAAATTCTATGATTTATATACAGTATATATACAGTATTCTCATCTTCATTTAATATTAATTCCTTCTTTCCACCCCCTTTTTTAGGTTTCTTAATGTCTCCTTCGTTTTTCTTCTCTCTTAAAATTTTGAAAACAGATGATTCGCTTACTCCAGTATATCTAGAACACATTTCCACCAAACCAGTCTTCAGTTTCATGGGATGATCCTTTTCTAAAGCGTTATAGGCATTTAATAAATTATCGTTTTTTCTCTGTAACTTAATAGATTTTTTTGTACCCACAGCAATACATCCGGCTTGCAAACATCCAGGGACCGCCTCCATTTCTCCATATAACGACAACAGAGCAATAATAACACAAAAAACTTCACTTCACTAGCACAGAAAATATAATAGCATTCACGATTCACGTACAACAGTCCGAAACACAGCACACAAATAAAACACTAAAAACACTTTTGTTACGGAGCACAAGAAATATGATTTCACTCACAAATTCTCAAATAATAGCACGAAACACACATACAGCCCGAACGAAATATAATTGTACTTATAACAGTTATAACCTCACAAATATCGCGAGCGAGAAACATGTAGCACCAATACAACCGAAACGAAACTGACCACGCCGGGCCGGCACGCGCGAAGCTGCAACCAACACAAGACACAACTCATATGAGGGAGGATGAAGGGAGTAATAAATGTATTGTTGGAGATGCCTTTGTTTTCCATTTTGTTCTTCATAAATATATATCTATTAATTAATAATTCATAAAGAAATTTTTCAATTTCCAAAACCCCCTAAAACGTGTTGCACTGATTCTCTTGACAGGCAATGATTTATTACTTTGCATCGAATATGATCCTACTATAATAGTAGAACAGTGCAAAAGGCAATTGTTACAGGATACCGGGAATGTCCACCTGACATATGTTTTCGACAACGAATAAAACATCATAAACCTCGTTGGGGAAGATCCGAGGCGCAGTACTCGCGACATTGGCCGAGAAGTGGGTGTATCTACCGTGTGGCGTGTAGTACGGGAACAATTAATTATTACACCCCTAACATGTACAAAGTGTTGAAGCATTAAATAACAATGATTTTCAGACCTGTGGAGAATTTTACCAATGGCTTTTTACGGATATATGTTGTTTTACTAGAGATGGCATACTAAACTTTCACAACATTCACTATAGGAATCGTGATGCAAATCCTTACGTTGTACAGGAATCTCGGTTCCACCAACGTTTTCAGTGAGTGTGTGGTGTGGTGTTTCTGGTGACAGAATTTTGACCGTCGTTTGGAAGCATGTTCATTAACACATGGAAACAACTTTGAACAATTTTTGTAGAGCATATCGTCTATTGGTAAGTAATTCGTTTATTCGTTTAATTTTTGTGTTATTTTTAAAGTAAATTAGAATAAATTTCAGCATTTTCGAACGAAATTTGAACCGTCAAATCCGCCATTACCGCTTTCACTTTGCGGCGCGCGGCAGCTTCGATATCAAAG